CTTCGCGGTAGATGTGACGACAAAGAAGCTGAACCACTACTTCCAGGCCCACCCCATACAGGTCCTCACCAACCAGCCACAAGATGCAGTACTGAGGGCCTCGGGGTCGGCCAACAGGTTGGTCAGGTGGGCCATGCGGCTTAGCCAGTTGACATCCAGTTCAAGCCCAGACCCGCCATCAAGGGAAAGGCGCTGGCTGACTTTATAGTCGAGTGTACTGCCCGGGAGGCCACGGAGTGGGTCCGGGACGAAGACGAGGAGTGGTGGACCCTCTCAACGGACGGGTCCTCCAGCACGAAAAGCTGCGGGGGTGGAGTCGTCCTCATAACACCGGAGGGGTTTCGGCCCTACTACGCCCTCCGCTTCGCGTTCAAATTATCCAACAACGAAGCCGAGTACGAGGCAATCCTGGGGGGGCTCCGCCTCGCGCTAAATATGAAGGTGGAGAAGCTCAAAATCCGATGTGACTCTAGACTCATGGTGGGACAGGTCATAGGTGAATTTGAAGCAAGTGATGAAAGAATGAGGAGGTACAGGGACATGGTGCTCCAACTTTTGGGACAACTGATCAATTACGAGGTCCTACAGGTACCCCGAGACCAGAACACAAATGCTGACATGTTATCCAAGCTCGCCTAAGGGGCCCCGGAGCATATTTCAAAAATAGCCCGAATTGAAGATTTCAGGAGGTCGAGCCTGGATGCCTACCCGGTCCTACCTGTGCAGACCCGACCTCCCTGCTGGTTGGACCACCTCAAGAAGTACAAAAACACATGTGTGTTACCTCCCGACGAGGTCGACGCCAAGCTGGTGAAACGACGAGCCCCTACGTACATGATCATGGGGGACACACTTTACAAGAGGTCCTACAACGGCGCCTTGCTGCGCTGCTTATACCCAGACGAGGCCAGGTCAGTCATGGAGGAGATCCACGAGGGGACCTGCTCCGCCCACCAGTGGGCCTTCTCCATGTCCCGGAGGGCCATCTTACAGGGGTACTTTTGGCCCAACATGGCAAAGGAGTGCGCCGACTACGCTAGGAGTTGCGGGACCTGCCAGCACTTCCAGGTAACCCCCGGCCGACCCGCCACGAGCTACACCCCCATTAGCTCGGTCATCCCCTTCTCCAGGTGGGGAGTGGACCTAGTGAGAGCTCTACCCATGGGGTCGGGAAAAAGGAAGTACCTCATAGTTGCAGTGGACTACTTTACCAAGTGGGTGGAGGCGGAACCGCTAGCAACCATAACAAGTGCCCGTTGCAAGCACTTCGTGTACAAAAATATTTTGTGCCGTTTTGGGGTTGCGATGCAACTCATCACCGACAACGGACGCCAATTCGAGGGACAAGAGTTCGAGGGGTTCTGTGCAGAATGGCACATTACTCACAGGAATCACAGCGGGGTGGCCGTGTGCTACCCCCAAGCAAACGGGCAAGTGGAGAATGCCAACCGTACCATAGTGGGTGGCCTGAAAAAGAAACTGGAATTCGGGGGTGGGGGGTGGGGGGTGGGGGGGCGTGGGTGGAGGAGCTCGACGCCACTCTTTGGGCCTACCGCACCACCCCCAGGAGGGCCATTGGGGAGACATCTTTTTCCTTGGCCTACGGTTTCGAAGCCCGAGCTCCAGCAGAGGTGGTCATACCTTCCCGGCGGGAGGAGGACTACGACCCCGACACGAACGATGAGCACCATAGAATTGACCTCCACCTGATTGACGAAAGGCGCGAAGCAGCTGCGATCCGAGCTGAAAACTACCAGAGGCAAACCAAAGCAGACTATGATAGGCGGGTCCGACCCCGCTATTTTCAAGTGGGTGATTATGTGCTCAGGAGGAGGGAGGCGAGCCAACCCCAGGCCAGAGGAAATTTTGCTGCCAACTGGGAGGGGCCCGTACATCGTAACAGCTGTGGTCCGCCCGGGCAGCTACAAGCTCAAGACCCCCAAAGGAAAGATGATAGCTAGGGTTTGGAACTCGGAACACCTGCTGAAATTCTACCAGTAGACCCGCCACGTGAAAGGTGGACCTCGGCATTGCTATCCTAAGAGGAGGATCATTCCCCTCCCCCAAATAATGTCTGTGTAGACGGCAATAAGCGGAATAAAATTGAGTGTTACGAAAGATGTTTTGAGAAGGACCCTTGTTACGAACTAGGTTTTCGTTTATCTATCTTCCAAAAAAAAAAAAAAAGAAACCACGTAAAATAAGAGGGAACGAGTGCTCACCCGTTCTCTCCCCCGCGGACCCTAAGGGGGCACGAGGTCCGACCTCGCGTACCAACCCCGACGGAGGACGCACCCTAAGGGGGCACGAGGTCCGACCTCTCGTACCAACCCCGACGGAAGAGCCCGGTGGCTTGGTCCTACAGGACTCGGCCTGAGCGGCTAGCGCGCACCCTAAGGGGGCACGAGGTCCAATCTCGCGTACCAACCCCGACGGAGGAGCCCAGTGGCTTGGTCCGACAGGACTTGGCTCGAGTGGTTAAGCGCACCCTAAGGGGACACGAGGTCCGAACTCGCGTACCAACCCCGACGGAAGAGCCCGGTAGCTTGGTCCGGAAGGACTTAGCTCGAGCGGCTGACGTACCCTAAGGGGCACGGGGTCCGACCTTGCGTACCAACCCCGACGGGAGAGCCCGATGGCGTAGCCTCATCGGACTACGTTAAAGAGGCTAACACATGACCTAAAAAAAAAAAATTAAGGCCTAACGCACCTCGTCACAACACCGGGGTGCACCATGGTCGCACCTCGGCACGTTGCCGAGGTGCACCATGGCGCCACCTCGGCAACGTGCCGAGGTCCTTCCGTGCGTGAGGAAGGTCGGGGCGCGGAGCAAACCGACCCGGGGGGAGCGGAGCAAGGAGGTGGAGCGGCCCAAGACGTCTCACCTCAGCCCAAGACGTCTCACCTCGACCCAAGACGTCTCACCTCGACCCAATACACCTCGACTCAAGACGCCTCGGCCATGGTGAGCTCGGCTACATTCGCACATGGAGGTCGGGTCCGGATATTTACTTTCATTCGTTGACTTCCACTCGCAACGAAGAGAGTGGGGGACTCATGATGGATATATTATACCCACAACCCGACCCGGGGTAGCAACGCGGACCTAGAGCACCACGGTGGAGCCCAAGAGCAACACGGACCCGGGGCACCAAATTGGGGCCCAAGAAGCAACACGGACCCGGAGCACCATGGAGGTGCCCCGACCCGAGCCGACCTACGTGGGGCTCGGGTCGGATGGCACGACCCTACCCGAGCTCGGCCTGTGGGGGGCTCGGGTAGGGGAGGTCGGTTTTACTCGAGCTCGGGACCCGACCCGACCCGGTCCGCCCGGGCCCGGTCAAAGTAGTGATCTAACTACCCCCCGATTTAGGGGGAGGTGGTTGGGAGGGGGGGGTTAGCTTGTATAAAAACCCCCCTCCTTGTCCTAACAAGGGACATTCTATCTACATTCTACACTTATTACACACTTTGTCTTACCGAAATCTTTGTAATAGCCAATTCCTACGGCAATTAATATAATATACGGTCTCACGGCCTTTTGCTATATCGTTCTATATTATTTATATATTATTTATATTACGTTCTTATCCGGATTTATTGATTCGGTCCACCCCGGGTTAATTAAATCCATCATATATATATATATATATATATATATATATATATATATATATATATATATATATATATATATATATAAAATATGTTGTGTATTTATTTATTTATATGTATGAATGCATATCGATGTTTAAATATTAAAAAAAAAAAAAGCTAAATAGATAAATATATATTTGATTATATAAACTTATATTAATTTCATTATTATTATTATTATTATTATTATTATTATTATTATTATTATTATTATTATTATTATTATTATATAAGGATTATTTAACAAGGGCAAAGTTGAAATAATTCAAGGTAATCTAAGATTTACCTAAGAAAATTAGGATAATCACATTACCTTGAAACATTACCGCCACATCAGCTTTCAGATAATATAATATTGCCAGTTAATCTTATAACTTGAACCAAACAAGGTAATATAACAAGGTAAACTAAAATGATCTAAACCAAACGCCCCCTTATTGTAATTTGTAAGAGGTCTAGGGATTCGATTTAATTATGAAAAATGTTCAAATTAGTCACCGAACTACATGTAAAATTACAATTAGGTCATTCAACTCAAACAAAATGCAATTATCTCTGTGAATTGTTCATAATTATACAATTTTTATTTTAATAATTTTAAATAAAATAGAATTTAAAAAAAAAAACAACGATTCAAATAAAAATTATCAATTTTAGTTCATTATTTTCTGAGCTGACAACTGTCGATTCGAAACTAGAACCGAACCGTAATTACCTCTATTTAGAATATCTGTAATTCTCTTTCCTAAGTGAGCTCAAGGGTGCAATTCAATGAGAGAAATTGGGAAATAATATTAGATCTTATTTATTACAGTTGTATTTTTAACTCTTTCCTAAGTGAGCTCAAGGGTGCAATTCAATGAGAGAAATTGGGAAATAATATTAGATCTTATTTATTACAGTTGTATTTTTAAATGGCGACTGAAAAGATAATTCACCAAGTCAAGAAGTATTTATTGGAAAGGATTCAAAGTACATGTCATCATCATATGTATGTACAACGTAAAAGAATACTTCCTATTTGCAATTAGACACTGGAGAGTAATACTCCAATTGATTTCCAGATATTAAAAAAAAAAAAAAAATTGAAGTTTGCAAAAATATCAGCGTGAGAATAACTTCTCAAAGTGAAAAATTTCTTATGTACAATAAATAAAGATCGAGTCTCTGTCCAATTGAATTACCATAATTTATCTCCTCTCAAATATTTTGTCGATCCGGACGTGGGGTCCTTCACCCTTGAGGTTGGTATTTAACCTTATTAAGAACAATGATTTCCAGGTAAAAGCTGGAAAATATATATATCTATTTTTTAAACTCAGAAAGTGGAATTCTTTCTGTACTGTCATGGTTTTATGTCTCACCTGAAACCGCGTCGTTTTTAAAGCTTTTCCTTTTTTTCTTTCACCATTTCCATAAATCCCGTCGTCTTTTAATTCTCACTCCACTGTATCTCTCTCTCTCTCTCTATTCACCTTTCACATTCTTCTTCTTTTTCTTCTCTTTCTGCGTTATACAATGGTGTTTCTGTAGATCATTATAGCGACACACAGAGAGAGAGAGAGAGAGAGAGAGAGGGAGGGGATTGGAGATAGTCGGAAAACCCAGATTGTAAGAATTGAATATGAATAGTTGTGTGGTTGTTTTTGTTTTGATTGTTGGATTAGTGCCGTTTGGGTGTGTTGGGATTAGGAGTTTACCGGAGATTAATGGGGGAGAGAATTACGGTAGTGGGTTTGGGTTTTCCGAGGCGCCGGAGTATCGGAACGGCGTGGGATGTCCGGCGATTAGCCTAGGGACTGAAACGGCGTCGTCTTGCGACCCTTCTCTGGTTCACGTAGCCATGACTCTTGACTCGGAGTATCTTCGGGGGTCGATTGCGGCGGTGCACTCCGTCCTCCGCCACGCGTCCTGTCCGGAGAGTGTCTTCTTCCACTTCATCGCTGCGGAGTTCGACCCGGCTAGCCCTCGGGACTTGACCCGGATCGTTAGATCCGTTTTCCCTTCCCTCAACTTCAAGGTTTACATTTTCCGGGAGGACGCCGTCGTCAATCTTATCTCGTCGTCGATCCGGCAGGCTCTGGAGAACCCGTTGAACTACGCCCGGAACTACCTCGGCGATATGATCGACCGGTGCGTGAACCGGGTCATCTACCTCGACTCCGACGTGCTCCTCGTCGACGACATTCACAAGCTCTGGAAAACCCGGCTCCGAGATTCCCGGGTCATCGGAGCGCCGGAGTATTGCCACGCCAATTTCACCAAGTACTTCACGGTCTCCTTCTGGGCCGACACGGGTCTCTCCCGGGTTTTCCGGTCAAACACCCCCTGCTACTTCAACACCGGCGTGATGGTGATAGATCTCCGGCAATGGCGAACCGGGAATTACCGGAGCAAAATCGAGAAGTGGATGGAGATTCAACGGAAGAGGAGAATATACGAGCTGGGGTCTTTGCCGCCGTTCCTGTTGGTGTTCGCCGGAAACCTGGAGCCCATTGATCACCGGTGGAACCAGCACGGGCTCGGCGGCGACAACGTGAAGGGGTCTTGCCGGTCGCTCCATCCCGGTCCGGTGAGCCTTCTGCATTGGAGCGGGAAGGGGAAGCCGTGGGCCCGGCTTGACGACAAGAAACCGTGTCCGTTGGATTATCTCTGGCAGCCGTACGATCTGTACAAGCCTCGCCGGCAGGGAAAAGTCAAGCTAAATCATCATCTTGCATTGAGTGGTAGTACCTTAGGGTACTCCACTTTCTTCATTTGATAATTCTTTTTTTTTTTTTTTTTTTTTTACTTACAATATTTACAGTTAAGTGATTCTTTGATAGGCTCGTACAGATTGATTGATTGACAAAATTAGTTGATTGAATTTGTTGTTGTTAAGGTCAAATTGCAATTTCATCATACTTTTAGTGGTTCCATTGTTTGGGAAAATTTTGGGGTTTAATTTTGATGTTCCTTTCATAATGTATGAATGTTGTACAAGAGGAATAGCTATGAACTTCTTAAATAGGTTGCTCAGGTTGAACTTAAAATTTTGTTATTGTCAAATCAACTGAATAACTTGGCTGTAGTTGTTTTTAAATCATTTTTTTTTTTTAAGGGATAAGGGTCAAATAGACCCTCATACTATATAGCAAAGTGCAATTAGGCCCTCGAAGTAAAAGAACATCCAATTAGACCCTTGAATTTATTAAAACAATGCAATTAATATATTTAATGGGTTACTAAAAGGTAACCGGTTAAATTCAATAAAAAAAATAAAAATACAAATACAAATTTACAGGAAGTCGAAGCAATGAAGGCTGTGAAGCCGCATGTTTCCCAGCTTGCTTAATCCATTATTAATCATAACCATCATTTACCTCCTTAATTCATTTTCATTACTTCCACAATTTTGCTTTTGTCAGCCAAGCATCATCATCGTCAAGAACAACTCATCATCGGCACATCACCATCCATCTTCTTCAAAATACGTTGCTGCTCATCCGACCTTGCTACCATCGCCGGAACTTCACCATCACCACCAACAGCTGGTCTAACACCATTGCCAAGGTTGCCGGTCAAGGTCGACGGGAAGGGGAGGTCGCCGAGAAACACATCATGTTTCGCCAAAATAGATTGTTCACCGGAGTTGTTGTTGGTTTCGTATAGTACGAGGTCCAGACGTCGCCGATCTACTACACGCCGGAGGGGAAGTTACTACCGCTGGTCTGCCGCTGCTAGAGGGAGTGAAAACAAGAGGAAGTCGCCGGTGGCCTCTGCTCGCCGGAAAAACAGAGGTCGCCGGAAAGAGCCTCGCCACCTGCTGCAGGCTGCAATGACTTTTCTGTTTGCTTGTTTCCTTGTTTTATTAAAAATTATTTTATTTTCTTAAAAATAAATTTAAAAATATTGATTCAAGTGATGAGCATCTTGTAGGTAACTTGAAGATAACTTGTTATTATAGGTTAAATGGGTTAATTGCATTGTTTTAATAAGTTCAAGGGTCTAATTGGATGTTTTTTTAGTTGGAGGGCTCAATTGCACTTTATTATATAGTATGAGGGTCTATTTGACCCTTATCCCTTTTTTTAATTGTTATATCATGGACTAGAGTTTATATTATTACATTGTGAACCATGATCTAAAAATTATGTCATTATGTGTGTGTAATTATCACATTATGTATCTATAGTTAACAATTTATGTATCTGTAAACAAATTAAAGGCAATTACAAACACATAACGTGATAACTATATATACATAAATTGTTAACTGAAAATGTACAAAATAAGCTAACTGCACACACAAAAGATGTTGGATAACATGTTATGTGTATGCAATTAACATATTATGTATTTGTCGTTAACAGTTTGTGTGTATGTAATTACCATGTGATGTGCATTCGATTTGTTTACAAATACAGAAACAATTGATTGTAGGTACAGAATTTGAAGGTTATTTTTTGACCATGATCCACAATGCAATGTAGACCCCGTTGGTCCATGATATAATTTGACATTTTCTTTTGCGTTTGGCATTCGGTATTTTCATCACTATGAAGCTAATTTAAATTTTGAATTTTGATTTAGGGAAAAACACGATACATTAGCAATCTGTGATCCCGATTTATTGGGTTAACTGAATAACTGTCTAGTCATTTTCTCACAATTATTATTCTAACATCATCACTTTTCTAAATGTTGTCTAATTATTATTAGTTTTTTTTTTTAAAGGTGTATTTTTTAGACATACAAACATTTTTTGTGTGTAATATTTTAAGATATTTTTTTTTAAAACATATTTTAAGATATTTAATCTCCCTAAAATTAAAGATTATACAATTGTTTGGTGAAAGATTAGTTTGTACTTACATATTGTGACTTGTAATGTAGAGTGAAAGTAGTCGTTGTAGTTGGGCCAATAAGGAGAGGCCAAGTTTAGTTATTTAACGTATTAAGGTCCTTGTGGGTTAAGATTAGGTTCCTAATAACGTTATGTATTTTGGTTGGACTTGACTAAACAAATCATTGGGGGTTGACATGACAATGATTTAAAGCTAAGATAACATTAATGTGGGAATCTATGTGGTAGGAAAGCAAGCAATCTTCCAGCTCATTGAAGCTTTAATTTGTGACTTTTTCTCTTCTTTTTTTTTTTTTTAAAAAAATTTTAATTTCAATTGTACTACAATTATTAATCTTTAAAAAAAAAAATTATTTACTTCATTCGTTTTTACTTGTATTGACGTCATACGCAATTACACATGGCATTGATAATTTAGCCACACTTTCGTTTCCCTTTTAATAAAACTAGTATTCTATCCGTGCGATACACGGAATAAATATTAATAAATTTTATAATATAAATATTTAGTTGGTAATATACATCTTAATATAAACATAGATAGATTCAATTAATGTATTACAAAAATCATGAAGTTGTATTGGATCACAAAATTTACAAAAAACGTAAACATAAAATACCTACAATTTATTAAAAATAGTTACAAATTTTTAAATACTTCATTGTAGACCACATTTAGGGTGCGTTTGGTTCAAGTTATATAAGATAACTACGGTTATATTTGTTTGGGAATATAAGATTCTATGTTTGGTTCAGGTTATGTAATTTTCTCAGGGAATATCACATAACCTCCCCATTAAGTTTTTAGCTATTGGAAGGGAATGTGAGATACTCTCCAATTTCTTAGGTAATCTCACATTCCCTTATCTTATTACTAATTTTGGACTTTTGACATTATCATTATCTTATTTACATACCTTAGTTTTAAACTAAACACATGAATCTAACATTCCCTAAGGTAATCTAACATTCCGTGATCCAAATGCCGCCTTAGGGTGTGTTTGGTTTGCACATGAGAATCGGAATCGGAATCGGAATGAGAATCAAATGCTTGGTAATGGTAATGGTAATGGTAATGATTTTGGTAAAAGTATTTTGCATGTTTGGTAGTAGGGTGGAATTGGAATGATTACCAATATTGCTGTTTGGTTATGTATGATCCTATAATGCGAATAAAGGTTTTAAAAATACAAGAACAAAAAATCAAGACAATTTATTCTAATATAAAGACATCCAAAGCACCAATATGAACAATAAAAATAAAAATAAAAATCTAAAAGCATTAATCCAAACTTAAAAATCAAATCACCAAATTAGGAGGGGGAATAATGGAATAAAACCCTTATTTTATTAGGGAATGAGTTTTCTAATTAAGGGGGTAATCAAATCACATAGTAGTGTTCTAGAAACCTGTCAACCAAACAATAACAATGACTTTGATTCTCATTCCTGATGGCTAAATCCATGAACCAAACACACCCTTAATGTTGAAGAAGAATACTCTTCATTATTCTCACCTTAAACAACAACTTTAAGACAATTCGGGTTGTTAACTCTAGACAGAGCCATATATAATTGTCCATGCCAAAGTAAACCAACATTAGAAAGACTTTGTCATTGACTCTTATTTATCGTCATTGCATAAAACAATATTAGAGGAAATTGTCTCATTTTGAACTTAAATGGCAACCGAGGATATGATGGTGTCAATGACAATTTTGAAATCAAGACTAAAATGAATATATTTAGCGTCGTGACCATTTTGATGAATTGAACCGTAATACAATTTATTGAATTAACTAAAATGAATTATATTTCAATTAATTTGGCTATCCAATCAAATTAACTAAAATTTTATGATGCACCACCTCCAGACAAATATCCACAACGACAAAAAATAAAAATTCCCAAATGTATAACTTCACACCATCATCAATACCTAACGCCCTCCAACCAATGCACAACCCATAGTTCTACGTAGCACCACACCTAATGCAACAATGCACAACTCAACAGTCTATGATGCACCACTCTTAAAATAACATATTTATCAACAAATGTAATCAAAAGTATACTCCAAAGAACAATAACAAATTAACAACATCAACAACAACAACAACAACACACACAAAAGAGAGAGAATAAACTTAAACCATGCCAAGGAGTCACCACTCACCGGGTCGTTATATCATAGACCGCGGTGCATGTGCACCGCGGTCAAAAACAACGCCGTTTCTTTAAGTAAAGAAAAGGCCCGCCGTTATAGTTAACGGAGTCCGCTTGTTTGGTGTATTAAACACCCACCAACTGACACTACAGTATATCTAAACCGACACTGCAGTTATATCAAAATGATGCTGTAGTTATAATGAAATGAAACTGCAGTGTATATAAAATGAAACTGAATAACATTTCACATATTTGAGTGTATATTGTACAATGAAGCTGTAATTATATCAAAATGATCATGAAGTTGTGTTTTAATGAAACTATAATGTATATAAAATAAAATTAAATAACATTTTCACATATTTGAGTCTATAAATATCGAATGAAACTATAGTTATATCGAAATGAAACTGTAGTTGTGTTGAACTGAAACTGCAGTGTGTACAAAATGACACTGAAGAACAGGGTTACTTTTTGCAAAAGGGTGCGAAACGGCGAAAAACAAACACTGTTCATTTTCATTTAAAAAAAAAAAAAGACACGCAGTGCATGATTGATCATGCACCGTGGTGCATAATATAATTTGCCCCACTCACCACTAGCAATAGAAAAAATCAAAAGAAGAACGAAGGAAAACGTGGACAAACCCAGAAGGAAACTAAGGAAACAAAAAAAATGGTAAAAATTGCTTAAATCACGCTAGCATAACCCACAAGGGAATTAAACTACCTGCAAGGAAGCTACGTGAAAAATTACCTTTTTTTTTGAATGTTACTGGCCCTATTACATTGTAGTATCTGTTCATATACTTTCTCAACCTACTGAAACACAAAGAACCAATAACGCCTCCACTGAGGCTTGAACTCACAACCTTCCAAATGGAAGTCCAACCCGGATACCATTAGACCACATAGTCCTGGTTACGTGAAAAATTACCTAAATGCTTCTAACGCAATAAATAAGAAAAAAGGTTTAAAATAACCATTAAATCC